CTTCCAGGTTATGTCAGAATAAATACTGACAAAGGTAATGATGTGAGTATAAAAACTTTAGCACACAGTAAAACACTTTCATCAAGGACCAACATGTAAGTCACCTCCGCCCTCTAGTGGTGGAGATGTGGAACAACAACCTTTTCTGACCAAAGAGGCCTTAAATCAGTTTAGCAGGTGGTTCTAAGCTTTCCCAAGAGTAAAACTCATCTGTATTTATATTACATACATTCTTTGTTAAATGTGCAAACTATGAAATCAAACATGAAGAAGTTGATCCTGAACTTAAATCATATCTAAACTATGCACGTCTGTGCATTTTGAAAGCATTTACTCCAGTATTTTTTTTTCAGATATGTTGACATGTAATTGTGAAATGCAGGCATGCACTCAATATAAACAAAGCACCTATACAGGTGCTGGTCGTAAAATTAGAATATCATGAAAAAGTTGATTTATTGCAGTAATTCCATTCAAAGTGAAACTTGTATATTATATTCATTCGTTATACACAGACTGATATATTTCAAATGTTCATTTCTTTTAATTTTGATGATTGACGACTAATGAAAACCCCAAATTCAGTATCTCAGAAAATTAGAATATTCCTTAAGACCAAAAAAAAAGATTTTTAGAAATGTTGGCCAACTGAAAAGTTCGAACATGAAAAGTATGAGCATGCACAGTATCAATACTTAGTTGTTGCTCATTTTGTCTGGATTACTGCAGCATTGCAGCGTGGCATGGAGTTGATCAGTCTGTGGCACTGCTCAGGTGCTATGAGAGCCCAGGTTGTTCTGATAGTGGCCTTCAGCTCTTCTGAATAATTGGGTCTTCCTCTTCACAATACCCCATAGATTTTCTATGAGGTTAAGGTCAGGCGAGTTTGCTGACCAATTAAAAACAGGGATACAATGGTCCTTAAACCAGGTACTGGTAGTTTGGCACTGTGTGCAGGTGCCAAGTTCTGTAGGAAAATGAAATCTGCATCTTCATAAAGTTGGTCAGCAGCAGGAAGCATGAAGTCTCTAAAACTTCCTGGTAGATGGCTGCGTTGACCTATGACCTCAGAAAACACAGTGGACCAACACCAGCAGATGACATGGCATCCCAAACCATCACTGACTGTGGAAACTTGACACTGGATCTCAAGCAACATGGATTCTGTCTCTCCTCTCCTCCTCCAGACTCTGGGACCTTGATTTCCAAAGGAAATGCAAAATTTACTGTAATCAGAGAACATAACTTTGGACCACTCAGCAGCAATCCCAGGTGAGACGCTTATGACGCTGTCTCTTGTTCAAGAGTGGCTTGGCACAAATAATGCGACAGTTGAACCCCATGTCTTGCATACGTCTGTGCGTGGTGGTTGTTGAAGCACTGATTCCAGCTACAGTTCACTCTTTGTGGAACTCCCCCACATTTTGGAATGGGTTTTGTTTCACCATCCTCTCCAGGGTGCAGTTATCTTTGTTGCTTCTACACTTTTTTTTCTACCACATCTTTTCCTTCCCTTTGCCTCTCTATTAATGTGCTTGGACACAGAGCTCTGTGAACAGCCAGCCTCTTTAACAATGACCCTTTGTGTCTTGCCCTCCTTGTGCAAGGTGTCAATGGTCGTCTTTTGGACAACTGTCAAGTCAGTAGTCATCTCCATGATTGTGTAGCCTACAGAACTAGACTGAGACCATTTAAAGGCCTTTGCAAGTGTTTTAGAGTTAATCAGCTGATTAGAGTGTGGCACCAGGTCTCTTCAATATTGAACCTTTTCACAATATTCTAATTTTCTGAGATACTGAATTTGGGGTTTTCATTAGTTGTCAGTTATAATCATCAACATTAAAAATAATGAACATTTGAAATATATCAGTCTGTGTGTAATTAATGAATATAATATACAAGTTTCACTTTCTGAATGGAATTACTGAAATAAATCAACTTTTTAATGATATTCTAATTGTATGACCAGCACCTGTATCTGCAAACTTTACTCTACAAATCTGAGCATAAATGGTTGTTTCTTTCTTCATATTTTTGACCTGTCTTCATGCAAACAAGTACCTTCTAATGTTTGAATTCACCCTTCTATTCTAAAACGGTAACTGAGCCGGGAAAAGCAGATAAAATGTTCTAAGGTTGAGAACCTCGAGGACATTTGCTATCGTGGCATTTTCTAAGTGTTATTGCACATGCTCTCTCGGAGGCCTCCCACTGCTCTGCTCCTTCCATGACATTCAAGCTGATGGGAAGAGCTGAACTCCAGCTGAGCGGCCTCCTTCCTCCTGCTCCACATCTGCAGCAGCTAGTCTGACGTAGGACTAGAGGGACGCTCGTTTGGCAAGACGTCGGGTTCCGGCTGAGGCCAGGCTGAGACAAAGCACATTTCGATTGTAATCCGTTTACTTTACGAAGGTTAAAGCTGCGTGGTTCTGCACTAAAACAGCACCTGTAACGTCTGAAGAAGATAAATTACAATATCCTGATTGAATCTTACTGAACTGGTCCAACCGCTAAAATATTGCTTATTACTTGCTCTTGACTGATCCGACACAAACTGGCGCGCAAAGCAGCTAAATTGTGCCGCGTCTAAATGATTTCTGTGGCCGGTCAACACGAAGAACAGCTACACAGACATTATCAGCGCTGATTGAACAGTAACCATGGCAACAACTATTATTAGGTGCGTATGAATACAGAAGTGGGTCACCTCTGTCCTGTCTGGACCACTTCACCATTTAAAGCCTGTTAAGTGAGAAGGCTGACTGCAGAATCACTTTTGTTACTGTAATGAGGGTGGAGGCGGTGAAAACACACACACGGCCCTCCGACACGTTTACCAATCCTTCTGTTTTACACCTCCAGCACCTCCTGCTCCTCATCTCTCCTCTGTGCAGCCACGAGATATTTTACATTTACGTCACGTTACAAAGTGTGTAATGATGAGAGCGCCGTGTATCTGTCAGTCACAATACGCCGCTGCTGCCTCTGCTTCAGTGTGAGGAGGAGATTCACACACCATCACCTGCCAGCCCCGTTTCATATCAAACACACACGTTTGTTTTTCTACCTTTACAGACTTTGCATCGACTTCCATCCATTTTTCATTCATTTCTATAGCCCAGGGGTCTGCAACCTGCGGCTCTGGAGCCACATGTGGCTCTTTGGTCCCTCTGCGGCGGCTCTTTCAAGCTTTGACCAAAACTGACATAAAAGTGAATTTTATAGGATGTTATACCCACAACAACAACAACAACAACAAAAAGACTAGTTTTAGCAGTTTTCCTGTCATTGCTTTTGCAAATATGTGGACACTAGTACTAAGTACTAATACACAGAGTAAATTATACTCTTTAAATTGTATTTATTCAAAGTAGGTCACTCAATTACTCCACAATTAAAAAATAAAAACACATAACCCTGCACAGTTCATTTAGTTTTTAAAATTTTGGAAAAAATAATGTCTTTTTTTTCTTCTTGACAAGTATCCAGTCTTCTGTGATGGACTTGTGACCTGGACATGGGCACCAGTGACCCCCTGCATGGATGGATGGATGAATGGATAGAATCCAATCTTTTCTTTTGTCTTAAAATGTAAAAATATCAATTAATGTTAATAATCAGATGTTTTTAGTTTTATAATTTCATACTTAGTGGCCAGAAAGGCCACCTCTTAAACTTAAAGTGGCTCATGGGCCACCAGTTGATAATGACCATTGTAGCAGGTTTTGCAGATTTGGACATATTTATTTTAGTGAACAAAGGGGCAGAAATGGCTCTTTTGATCCTAAAGGTTGCAGACCCCTGCTATAGCCTGACCCTGGCCCTTACCCTAAACCCAACCCCTAACCCCCCCAACAACACTGCTTCTTATGGTGCCCGGGCTTTGGGCCCCATAGTGAGCAGTTGGTCCTCACAGTGTAGTACATATTGGAAAAATGGACTTTACAAGGTAACAAATACAAAGACACACACACACACGACCATTTGCTCTCCATGTCTCACTGCCGTTGTTACCCCACTAACACAAAAACTCTCTAACGAGAACACCCTTCCTATCGTTTTCAACTCACGTCATTTCCTGCCGAGGACCTTGGGAAAGAGTCGAGGGTACACCCAGAATTCTTTCTCGTCCTTCAGCTCCGATGGACCATCTGAGCAATTTAACGGCGCTTTGAAAAAAAACTAACTTCAAGATCATCCTTGAGCTTCCAGTCACAGCGAGCCTCTCGCCTTCCTTCAGAGCAAAACGCCACAAACACTGCAGCTCCTGAGCTGCTGCGGCATCCTTCATGTTATACCCGTGTCAGATAAATCATGTGTAAAATGATAAATAACGAAACCTAAAAACATAAAGAGGTTTATAAAAACATGTTTCTTTTCGTTTCATTTCCCAAATGGACTTCTTCATTAGCCGTGCCTGATGTTTAGCATTTAGTGTTCAGTCAAATGGCTGTTTATGAACTAAAAAAATTTAAAAAATAACAAAAAAAGCTCCTTAACAAATCTATTTCCTGAAATGGGAGCGCAGAAGAGAAAAGAGACTAAGAGAATTATACCATGCGCTGTTTGTAATGAACGTTGGTCGTAAATACTGCATGCAGGAGTCTGCCTGCAGCTGATTTTGGTTTATCTGCAGAATTAGATGTAACCAGTAGGATCAGAACGAAATCATGTTTTTGGCTTAGCATGAAGCAGGGCTGAGTTTTTCCTAGCGTTTGAAGATATGTCCCAAAACATGGACCTTAAAGTAAAAGGGTCAAATGTGGCATGTCATTGGAAAAGCTGTGAAGAAAAGCTTCTAAAAAGTTCTCAAACTCAACAGAACAGTCAGCAAACGGTAAAAAAAAAAAAAACGGAATTTGTTCAAGTATTTAGTTAAAATTATAGATTCTGACTGAAAACTTTAAAATCAGTGATTAAAACTGAGATAAGTTTACTGTTTCAGTAGCTGCAGCTTCATTAGAGTATTTTATAATTTGCAGCTAAAGCCTTTGCTGCGTTCAAAAGAATGTGAAGCCAGGTGGCCCCGCCCCCAAAGGCATGACGGTGAGGTAATTGGAGGGCACGTAGCCCCTCTGACCACTTCTGGCCTCCACCAGGCTCCACTCGGGGTTCCCTCGTTTGTCGTGCGGCTCCAGAACGCGAACCGGCTCACCGGCTTGAACAGAAACTTCATGGTTTCCCCTCGCGGTGAAGTTGTAGGCTGCCATCACCTGTAAGTCGACATGAAAAACAAAACACAAAATTTTTAGTCCTTTGTGCTTATTAGGAAAATTGTCAGAAGATCACATTGATAGGCCTGTCACGATAACAAATTTTGTTGGGCAATTAATCGTCTCAGAAATTATTGCGATAAACGATAATATTGTTCGAAATTTAACTGTAATCAATTGTCAAATTTCAGAAGAAATGCTGATTTGTTTGGAGTGTAGTACCTTTTTTGACCACCTGATGGCAGTAAAAGACAGTTAGAACCAAAAGGATAGATAGTTGAGCAGCGTGTCTCTTTAAGAAATATGGGAGGGAGGGCCCTTGACGTGACATGGGCTGACATGGCAGCTGCTTTGTGATTTGAGCTCTTTAGCATAGCATTTTTCACACAAAGCTTTTAATAAAACAATCGGTAAAACTTTCTCAGCTTATTTTTGTAGGAAAAAAACAACTTTTTACACAAAGGCACGAGTTTCAACTGTGAATTTTGGAGCTTGACAAGACGAATGTTTGTTCCCACGGTCGGTCTGTTAGCTTAGCTTGTAGCTTAGCTTCTCAGCTTAGCTGCTTTTAACGAGCCAAAAACGTGATTTTGGACAGTTAATTCGGATTTTGAAGAGAAAGGGAGGGGTCAGTGAAGAGCACCGGAGTTGAACCGTGTCTTCAGAAAGAAAGAGGCAGAAAGAAACAATAAAGCCGTTAAATGAAAATGAGGTCGATAATTTTCAATCATCATGAGATTAATTGATTTATCGTTTATCACGACAGGACTACACATTGATTGTAATTTCAGTGGATTATTGAGGGCATTTTTAACACTTATACTCAGATTATATTTTAGCATGTTAGCATGACCTAAAAACAATATCAAGAACTGCTTTTATAAAAACTGTTCTTGATGTCAACTGAATCGACATTCCTTAAATGTTCTTTCTGTGGTTGACTCTTAAAACCTACTGAAGCCATGACCTAGATCTACTTTCTCATCCAATCATCCACCGTCTAGCTGTGAGTCGGTGATGTAAGAGGGTCTGTAGGGAACCCCAAACCCATCCATCTCCCCAGAGACACTCAGCTCTTCCTGAGGGCATCCCAGGGCGTTTCCAGGCCAAAGAGGATTTATAATCCCTGCTGCAGGTTCTGGTCCTCCTGATCCAGAGGGAGCATTTCACATGTGAGAAAACAACACAACTTAATTTGTCCAGTCAGTACAATTATAACATCCAATGTAAAATAAATGATAATAAAGATAATGAAACTGACAAAAACAAAGGTTTACTACTTTGCTCAAACATGAAAAAATAAACTTCAACAAACGTTTCAAATGGTTCAGGAATCAGCGCGTGACGCCACTCAGAGCACAAAGCATAGAATTAGAGTTAATGGATCTGCCCAGTCATGGATCGGTCACATAATTGTCACTGATACTCGATCCAGAAGTTTTTTCGATGTCGGTTCCGATACCAATATTGATATAGGATTGGTGCATCTCTAGTTCTGGAGGGCAGTCATCGTCTGTTGCTGCAGTCACTGTCATCATGCTGCTAACAGAACCACACTGCTAAAAGAATCTCACCGCCGACAGAACTACTCTGCTAATAGGACCATGCTGCTAACAGGACCATGTT